ACTTTAGTAAATGCTGTAGCAATGTGGGCTTCACCTCGTTATGCTTGTTATATTTTCATGATGTTAGATGAACTATATAAAGCAGAACGTGGAGAGATGGAAAAGAAACTTCAAGCAAAAGATGAAGTCATTGAATCCAAAGACAAAAGCATACAGAAAAGAATACCACGTTTCGGTACCAAAAGGAAAGGAAAAGAGTTTATAAGTATATGATATATACTGAAGAGTTGGAGAAAGAAAGAAGATAAAGATATGGTTATGTTGCATTTAGTCAGAAGAAACAAACAAAAGCTTTTATGACCTTGCTAAAATATATAAATCTGACAGAAACTGGTTCTATCGTGAAAACTTACCGATTTCAATGACACCGAATGAGCAAATAAAGGAAATTGTCAAAAAACTCTTCCTCAAACACACTATGACATCAAAGGTTGCACAATACTTACATTCAAAGAAGACTTAACATACTGAAGGAAAAAATAACAGAATATTTCGATAACTTCAAAGAGGAAGAATGAAGTCACGACAACATTAACGAAGAAGTCACGACAACATTAACGAAGAGAGAATGAGGTGAAAAAAAACAGGTGAAATCTCACCTCTTCACCAAAAAAATATATTTTTGCTTAAATGACGTTCAGGGTCAATTTCTTCAACCATTTCACTTCCTTCGTCAATGTCAATAGAAGCTTCTTCAACCTTTTGGTAAGAACTTTTTATAACATCTTTGTTCGTTATTGTTTTCAGAGATGAAGAATAATATTTCACATTTGTTTCACCCTTCTTATATTCTTTCTGTTCGGAAAGATTCATAGCAATACTGAAGAAGTCAATGTTGGAGTTCTTTATAATAGTATAATGAGTATCTTTGACATTCACGAAGAAACCCTTTTGTTTCAAAACTACTGCTAACTCTTGTGAAGTATAACGTTTGCGGTCAATGACAATAGCTAATGGTCTGACATACTGACCAAACTTAGATTCTTTCACAAACTTCTTGTTAAAGATAACATTGACGTTTGAAGCATTTTGAACTCATTCTTGATGACAGTAGCGAGAGCATTGTATGAAAAGAACTTGCAATCTTGCATGTGTTTCATTAAAATAAAAATATTAAATTATTTTGAAAAATAACTTAAAAAAATCTAAT